TCAAACTCCCGCCAACGGTCTGTAAGTGTCACTTTCTAAATGTAATAAAGGGTTTTTTTTTCTAACATGGCTTTTAATAAATATAAACATACTTCAATGTTATTTAGGGAGCTTGGAAGCCTTCACTCAACATCTCCACAGTCCTCTCCTCCATTCAGCTGCTCATGGCTGAGCCTAATCCAGACGATCCTCTCATGGCTGATATAGTGAGTAAACCAGCAACCTTATACTTGATATTGTGTTTTTATACAGCCCGTTTTGTGGCGCTTCACGAGGTTTGTATGAAGTACTGACGCAATAAATTGACTGGTGAACTAATTGAGTCTAAAGCAGACATGCGCTAGACTCATCTATACCCATTGTTCATGTTATGGTAGAATTGCAGCAATCGACTGCAATTTCTGTTAGTGCCGCTAGATGACGCCAGACACATTTTACCTTTGCTGGAGGGTGACTACTTAGATTTTAGCACACAAGGAGGTTGGGGCTGATGGTCTATATATTTGACTTGACTTGAAAATGATTTAACCTAATAAATAGGAATTGGATTATATGTGTTTATATATAAATGTACATACATATATATACATTTGTCTACTAAAGACGGGTCCAGGAATGTTAACATTTGTATTTGTAGTCGTCAGAGTTTAAATACAACAAATCGCTGTTCATGGAAAAAGCCAGGAGGTGGACACAATGCCATGCTGTTCAAAAAAACACAGTGAGTTTTTTTTTGTTTGTTTTTTTTCTTCCACAAACACTCACCTTGGCCTCATCTAGCCTTTAATGGCGGTTATTTACATTTACTACCACTTATGTCAAACTGCGTTTTCTGCTTATATTTCCATCTTTCTTCTTTACTTAGTGTAATTAGTTATTATTAGGCATTTGTTAGAATTGTGCGTTTTAAAAGCTTCTGGAAATAAAAAAAATAAAAAAAAGAAGTAAATTTGTTTCCAATATTTTCATCTGCCCCTGCTTATTTAGTTTTGTTTGCATTTTGTTAATGTTAATTTGTGTCTAATGAATCCAATGCTTTACGTCTGCGTTTGTGTCTAATGAATCCAATGCTTTACTCTCTGCTCAACCTATTGCGTGCAAGGTACCAGAACTTCAAAAGTTATAATTGTATGTAAAAACTCGATTAGAATCTTTCTTTGCATTTCAGGCTGTCGCTGACGCTGACAAAGAAAATTCCCAAAGTGAGAATGCCTCGTCTCGAAAAAGAGAGGCAGCCTCTGCCCGGTTGGAGGAGGAAGAGGAGGAGCAAACAAAGAAGACCTGTGTTTAAGTTTCCACCTTAATGTCAGGTTCATCTTCATATTTAACATTTTAATCACCTCTATGAACGTATTAAACTCTTCAAATCTCTATATTCAAATACTTTTGTGATTTTAGTTGTATTTCCGTGACAGAAGCTAAACAACAGGAGGCACTAGCTTAGACAAGGATATTTGACCAACAGAGTGATGCAAAGTTTGTTTGTTTTTTTTTAATATGAGAGGATGAGACTCTTAGTGTGGCTAATGTGTTTTTGTATTTCAATTTCGACAAGCGCTTTCTTTCAAAGCCACATACGCAGCAAGGTTTACGAAGGTAATTTTATTTAAACATGTTTTTTAGGCGTTTTAAACAAAATATGTACATCCAAAATCCAAAGGCAGGTTCCAGCTAAGAATTTATTTCTGAACACATAAAATAATATATTTGCTGTTAATTGTGAAAAAAGAAAAAACAACATGAGAAGGTAAAGAATCAAATACCATGCTAGTTTAGAGGTAGTTACATTGCATGTACATGTTCCTAACCAACGCAGCTGAAGAAAAGTTGGCTTCGTTCCATGTGACCTTTGCGGCTGCTCTTCCTGTCGGTCTGAGTTACTTGTGTGATAAACATACTGAAAGTTAATGACAGAGCATCGTTGTCAAAGTCAAATGTTACCTTACATAACCTGAGTAGTTTCAAACCTCATGGGACTATATCAAACAACCGTTCTAATTAAAGTTCATATACAACATTCTGGAAACCAGCTGCTTTAAATCCGTCCGCTGAGACAGCTGACCAATACCAAGTACCTGAAGCCAGAGTTGGTACAAGTAACTTTTGTCTCGTGTCTGTTGAAGAGCCAAAGAACAAATGAAATCGTCCACAATTAGTCTCAGTCCTTAAGCACAGTAAACACCATTTGAAGGCATCGTTATTGTAAACCTTGTAGAAATATATTTCTTGTTGCATTTTTTTGACACAGTGTCCGAGAAAATATTTCTCTAAGGAAAAAGTTAGCTTACCCTGGTTAAAAAAAATGGCGTATTCGAAGATGAATCCCTTTACTTAGATCTTTGCCTTAGTATAGAATTTATATTTTTTTTAAAATACACATTATAAATCCGTTTAAAACATATAAACCAGTCTGTAACCTCATGATCACATTTCAGTATAAACATTTAGACTTAAAACAGTATCTAAACTTAAACCCTTCCCCAGTTCAAACATTTGACTGACTGTTTGATAAACAACTCTTCTGGTCACTTTCTGAGTTCATGATCCGTGCCGTTCACTCAGAAGGGTCCCCCAAAAACGATCCTTTAAACTGGATTAAGGGGGTGTCCTGATGGTCTTTGTTATAAAGTGAACTTTCAGCTGGACCTCTTGCTCTCTACGTGGATTCACTCTGATGAGCAAGCTAGTCATCATAGTCCATGAATGTCTAGAAAGTCTCAAAGATTCCTTTCACCTCACGGATGAGATGTGAGTGCTGGGTTGATGGCAGAGCGGTACGGGGAGCAGGTGGAAAGAACCATGTCTTTTTCTGAACCTGGCAGATTTTAATCCTCACATGTTTTTGTCGCTCGGTCTCTCGTAGCAGGAGTTGGAATTTGACAGGGGATGAGAGGGACCGCTGACGAAGAAGAGCAATGGGAAAATCGGATGTGATCCAGTCGTGATGGTAGGGACGACCCCGCGACATACATGCCATCTGGGTCGGTGAGTGACCCCTGCACGGAGGAATCAGAGCAAGAGCTTTTCTCTGTTTCCACCGAGACCAAAGAATCCATAGTATGGTCCCGCCGCAGCTGTGGACGAGCACTGGGGCAAGACCATAAGAACATTTGGGAGGAATCTCGAGTGAACAGAAGGAAGAGGAGTGGATTAAGGCTGGCAGGCAGGGGTTGGAGAAGCAGGAGGGTTGATTTTAAAACCTCCTCTCCTAGAGAGAGGAGACCCAGGACGGAGCAGAGGGAGAGAAAGGCCACTGGTATGTAGAGGAGTCCGTTGGAGAATATGAGCCAGGCCACATGTTTGATCATTGCACAGTCCCACAGACCTTCACATTCACCCCTGAGTAACTCCCAGTACAGGCGTATGAACGAACCAGTGACGATAAGGAGACACAAAGTGTTCATCATGATAAGAGCCAGAGGGAAACCCAGAGAGGATTGAACCCTGGATGACGGAGGTGGCAGGGGTAAGGGAAGACAGAAAGGCGAAGATCCATATTCTCCAACCCCCAACAGTGGGAAGGAGGCCAGAACTACGGAGAAAGTCAGACAGAAAAGTGCACAGGTACGAACACTTCCGAACGAAGGTGACTTCCCGTAGGCACGGGCGCACGTCACACTCACGCCACACTGCACGGCCGCTAACGTCAGCAGTAAAACACTGGCTTCAGAAGCAAAAACCCACACCCAACCTGTGGCCTGGCAACCAGGACCTGTCTCCCACTGAGCACCATGGTGGCCAAATTCTCCTAAGGTGAGGGCGTCCACCAGGGTCAGGGCGCATGTGCACATGCCCGTCAAAAGGTTGGATCCGCCCATGCAGGCCACGGTGAACCGGAGCGGAGACAGATATCCAGGAGAGCCAAAAAGAGAGAGGAGCAGGACGGAGTTTCCAAGTAGAGACACCAGGGTGATGGACCACAGGCCCACACGGACCAACCAGCTGCCCAGCAGGGAGTCACATGGACCGAAAGGACCTGGGAAACAAAAATCGGTAAGTTATATAAACTGCTACCACTACATAATAACAATAATAATACCATGGTTATTCTAATCGAATTTTTGCAAGTGGCCCCAGCTATGACTTTTGTGACCTTTATTTTGTAAAAAAATGGCCAAAAACACCTCAGA